GAGGCGGCGTGCCAAACCGTGAGGAGGATACGCCAGGACTCAAGCACGCAAATCAGTCGCAGCCGCAGACCGGCGCATGGGATACAGATTACAGATACATTTGCCGCTGAGAATGTGTGTGTGTGTGTGTGTGTGTGCGTATTTGTATTCGTTTGTTTGCCCGCTAGCACAATTCTACTTAACAGCAATTTAACGTAATTTACGTCTTAACCAGGAATTCAACGTATGCGTTTAAACCAAGCTCTGCAGATACACTACGTGGCACACATCCAATGGGCGGTGACTGTGGCTGCTGCCACAGAACATATGTTCCTTTAAGCAGTGCCAAAGAACTTTTGGTCTCTGGATAAATTATTGGGTGTGTGTGTGTGTGTGTGTGTGTGTTGTAATACACAGTTCACAAAGTGATAAAGAGTATATTGGCTTTGAATTTATGTAAGCTGTCGTGTATTCACTTTCTCATGTTTAAATCAAGTCTAAAAGAAAATCAACCGTGGACTAGTTGCCTGAACATCGGGCCAATAAGTGCCAGGCCACCTTTCAATTTTTAGTTCTTTTAATTGTTGTATACATTTTGTTTACACTAAAAAAGGCGTATAGCGCAGTCGGAGCAGGCGCTTGTTGTTATTTAGATTTTATATGGAACCCAACTTAAGGCCCCCACTCGAAGCAAACCCGAACACCAACTCGAAACGGCAACAACAATTTGCGTATCTGCGGTTGCGTGGTCTTAACTTGTAGCCGGAATCAAAGCATTTAATGGCGCTTTTAATCTTGTTAATCGGCCTTTTGGCTGGTTAGCAGAGATTTCAGATAGTTTTCGACCGCCGTTGCAGATGTTGTTATTGTTGTTTATGTATCGGGGCGGAGCAGAGGCGTGTCCATTGAAATTGCCATGTTAAATGCAAATGTTGTTGGGCTTTGTATAGTCCGACAATATAAACACATATGCACATATTTACTTACACATGAAGTTAGATAACATAAAGCCCTGCAGGCTTAGTAAAAATATAAGTATGTACTTTTCTTGCATACTTTTGTGCGTCCTTAAAGTTGTCTTGTAAATGGCATTATAATTTTTGTCATAAGATGTGCAGCACGCTAAAGAAGACATCTATGAACCCATAAACAACATTTATTTGTATTTACCCTCCCAGTTAAAAGGGTCGCATATGTACTTTACCAGCATAGGAGTTGACTTGTTCCAACAGCCGAGTCGACATAGCTCTAGTTTTTTCAAATGTTCAACTTCTTAAAGGTATTTTAATTCCTTAACAAAATCGTATATATATTACAAAAGTATCTGAGAAAACGCAGCATCATGCCCGTTTCAAGCATAGATAAATATGTAGAAGCTGTGCATTCGAGGTGTCCGTAAAATAACTATCCCCTCCTTTACTTGGTTTAATGTTATGTCGCAATTGCTTCAAAATTCTTTTATCCGCTTTGCTACTTGGGTGTTGGGCGCCGGACGCTGGCTTCTTCGCCGTCGCCCGTCGAGGACAATTTTGACATGCTGGCATCCTTTGGAGCGTACACAGTACGAATGAATATTATTTCTTTATGCAAATTTTCTCAACTGCTGCCACTTGTTGTTGCGACTAGCTGTCAAGTCCGACTTCCCCCCGCCCACTTCTTACAGGTCGCAGCTCTCAGCTCTCGGTTCACAGCTTGCCCATTTGCGTGATATTTTGTTGAGCAAGACAAATGATTTCCATTTAATTTATTTTCGCTGCTTATTCTAAGACTGTAAGTGGCTGGCGAAAGGATTTAGCTGAATAAATTATAGGTTGAATTGTAATATCTTTGTCGGGGGGAAACGGTTAAGAAAATGTGCCAGTGCGCGGGTGCGGCTCTGACAAATGTTGAACTACAAACTCAGAAGCTGCAAAATGGGCGATTTGGCTGAACTGAATTTATAGTTATTTTATGCCAGCGTCAAGGCTAAGAAGCATGTAAAAATCTAGATAAAATAATAGGAAATACAAGGCGAGAAACCAAGCGGAACTTAAATAACTTTATATAATTATTTAAATAGGTAGAGTCGATTTAAGACTGTAGAATTTTTATCGCTGGAATCGATCAGTATCTTCTGATCTCTACCAAGCGAAAGACTGCGAAACAGTGTATTTTTACATTGTTTTGTAGCTTTTGTGCCATTTTCATTGAGGAGTATTTACAATGATGGGTTACTTACAATGTAGGGGAGGAGGAAGAATACGTATTCTAGGTATTTAAATAATTCGCCTCGTAGTAGTTCGCCGGGGTGTAACCGTTGTAGGCGCCTCTCTCTCTCTCTCTTTCTCTGATGGGGTCAGCCAGGACTCTGGCGTCTGGAGTTGGACTAATCTTATTCGTGCCCCGGACTAGCGTGTATCTAGATGTTTTAAAAAGGATCGCCTTCGTGAAGATGTGCAGCTTGCTTTGCCGGTTTAATAGACAGTCGAGGTTTTGGAGCCTTCTCAAGCATTTTGCTCTGGTTGCTGTGATATGGGACCCCCATATGAGCATGAGCTGGCGCGCTCAATGGTCCCTTCATCGAACCGTCGGCTCTGGCAACTATCGGAGCGTAGCGTGACGCTGAGATAAGCGGATATGGTAGGTTCTAAACAAAACATAAATAGGTATATGGCTGCCAAATAATAGGCAATTGCGTTCTATATTGATAAGAAATCAAAGTTCCTGACTGGTGATCGACTCGCATGCATACTCCCTTCTGGGCTATAACGGACGGTACTTAGACAAATTGAACATGGAATTGTGGCTTTACAGTTGCGTAAGATAGATTTAATAGTGGTGTTATATTTGCTGCAGTTATCGAACAACTCCAAACAAATCCAAAAACTTTATTAAATGCTGCAAGCTGCGTGTTCATTGGTTGGCGACAATTAGCCCAAACACAAGTCTTATAGTTCATAATTAGCTTGCATGCGATTAATTTTCCACATGAACTGCTGCTGCTGCTGATTTTCAGAGCAGAGCCGAATGGAGCGACATCGCCTGGGAGTTTAGTTCATAAATCATATGCATTGTCATTGCCAGCTTGCTGCCGACTTGTGCCAGCTAATCTTGACTGAGAATTAGGAGGTGGCAATCGCGCAGTCGCCTACTTAATATTTCCGCTCGCCCGTACGTCCGGCTCCTTCGCTCACTGCACTCACTCGTATCGCAGACTCACGTCAGATGTCACTAATCTAAATTTATGCAAATTGCCAACTGTCTGACTGACTCACATGCTCCATGCTCCATGCTCCATGCTCCTTCACTCTCCATACTGCCATGTGCTCTTGCTATTACCCTGCCAGCGGCAGGCATTCACATCCACATTCACATTCACATGCGCAGCCACTTCCCAATGCAGATGCATTCGCAGATGGAGGCAACTTTGCAACTGTTGTAAAAATTGCAGCTAAATTCAAATTTGACATGCGGCAGGCGGAGTCGCTGTTGGAGTCAAAGCCGCGACTCGCGAGTGTTTTGCTGGTGTTTCCTTTTTTTTATATATACCCTCTTATCAAATTACTAAAATCGGGTGTAATGGACCGGCGTTGATCTATATCTTATGCTTTTCTTTTTTCATGGTTTCTTTCTCCGGATAGAATTGTGCTGAGCTTGGATATCTCGTATCATAAGTCTTTATACCCTTTAATTAAATCTCTTAAAATTTTGAATTGCACTCGGACATTCATTGTGTGTGTGTGGGGCAGGGTATGCTTAAGTCGGGCACTATCGACTAGCGCACATTTGAATTTTTTTGTTATTTGTTTTTTTTTTTCTGTATTTTGGCTTCTATGTTGGTAGCTTTCAGCTCCCATTCATTTAGGATGCAGTGCTCGTGTTGGAGTTGCCGGTTGGTTGCCTTGGCAAGCTCTTATTAAATTAAAACGAAGGCGTTTAAGTGCGCGCCAAGCTCTCGGCTACCAGCTATCCGCTCGCAGCTTCAAGCTGCAGCTCAATCTGATATGCAAAACATTTTTGAAATAACTCAGTCGTAAATAGTGGCAGCTCAGCTCAGTTCAGTTCAGCTCAGAACTCTTGCAGGCTAAGCAAAATTAATTGAAAAACTTACACGCATCGCTGCTGGCCAAGAGTCTCTGCAGCTTTGGGTTCGCAGTTGATTAGTTGACCAAAAACTACAAACAAAAAAAAAAAAAACTCTTGTGCATCGTGGCCAGCTGCCAAAGTGTTCCGTTTGGCTGCAACTAGCTTGGCTTGCAGCTACCTTTCAGTTTCATTATCGCGCCTGGCACGCGATGCTCGCTAAGCTGGCCCCCATTTACAAGTCGGCGCCTTTTGTAATCGCAGCCAGCTCTCCCCCCACTCAAATGGCCAATATGTAAAGCGACAAAGTGTGAAATTTTAGCTCGTATTGCCCACACACGTTTCACAGCCAGCGGACCGGCAATAAAAGCAACTAGGCAGCTCTTAGTAGTCAGATCTGGCCAGCCGGCAGGCTTACCCGATTCATTCCATTTCACTCTTTTCAGCTAAAAAGTAGCGTAAATTAAAAGGTTTTCAAGGTCTTAAATTGTGTCCGACCAGATCTTACCAAGTCCGACAAGGGATGGCAATCTCTGACCACGCCTAACAGCGCCTTGGAACAGTCTGAAAGCATATGACAACGTCTGTCAGTCTTACAGCGTTCGACAAACGATTGACAACGTCTGACTAAATCAGACAACGTCCAACCGCGTCTGATAATGTCTGACCGCGTCTTACCAAGTCCGACAAGGGATGGCAGTCTCTGACCGCGCCTAACAAAGTTTTGGACAATCTGAAAACATATGGCAACGTCTGACAGTCTTACCGCGTCCGACAAACGTTTGACAACGTCTGACCAACTCAGACAACGTCCGCGTCTGAAAATGTGTGACCTCTCACTATGCCTAACGTCTCTCGAAATCTGAAAATGTTTGGCAACGTCTGACCTTGCCACGTCCGACATCAAACGGGCTACCTTTTTCTGCCAATATTTGAACAGAATTAGAAACAACATCAGACCAGTCTTTTGTTCTTTTACTGCCAACTCAAAACTATTAAGAAACTCGGAACTCGTTAGGTGTCGTCGGTTATACTACCTTGTCTTCATTTCATCAAAGCAGGGATGTAAAAAGATCTGCGGCTTCTTGTTAGGATCAAAGTGCTCGTGTCCCTTGGCCCAGTCGTAACCGAGAGCATAGGCAAATATTTGACCATCCGGACTAAAGCAACATTTGGTCAATGGCTGATCCTTGGTGCTGCTGGAGAATATCTTGTTGCGCGAGCACGTGTCCCAGCATGTATAGACGCCATCGGAGCCGGCCGTGACCAGGGTCTGGTGCACAGGATGATGCTTAAGGTCATTCACTGCATAGATATTATGTATGCCCATGGGACAGGGGGAACGATGACACTTGAAGGCAAATGATTCCTTGCCGTAAAAATAATGCACAGCCGCACGGCCCTCAATACCGCCAACAACGAAGCCTCCGGACTGATTTTGTCTTTCCCTAAAAATGCTAATGCAACGCGTCTGCTGCTTCAAATTACTCTCCATATGCCTGTAATCCATTGCAATCTTGTCCAGGGCGTAGAGCATTATGATGTTACCAGCACAGGCCACAGCGGCCATCGGATAAAGAACATCGGCGTCGTAACAGCGATCGGGCAGACTCAGCGTCAGCATCGGCATTGGGCAGCGTATGTCCCAGAACTATGTCAAACAGGCGTTACTACTACTGCTGGGTTCCATCTAAATCAGGGTATCAGGTGCCTTACTTTGAGGGTCTTGTCCCACGAGCCAGTCATTAGACAGGCATAATTGGCTGCCTTGATCCAATGGCAGCTACGCACGCCTGCGTCATGTGTGCCTATCTGGGTCAGTTGGTTCGACTGCAAATCCCATTGGTGTACCTCACGTCCCGCCGTGGACAGATACACCTTGTTGCTATCATCGCTCCAGCTCACATCCAAAACGGGTGAATTGACTTTGCAGAAACCATTTGGAGTTGTTGCTCCGTTCATTTCCACATGCCAGGTGCGTACCGTCTGATCCCAACTGCCGGCGCATAGCATATTCCTTGGTGCTGGGCTAAATTCCAGTGCGGAAATAGAATCGCTGGGCGGAAAGCACACTTCAAAGTCCACTGAATTTTGGGGCATCATGTAAATTTCGAATTATAAAATTGAAGGAAATTCTTAACTTATAATTGTCGTAGCTATTTATTATTATTTTATTTTTAAATAATGTAGACGTCAAATCAATAATATTATTAAATTCATTTTAAGTTTGTGCTCCAACTATTTTGTTGAAATAGTGCGCGTAAATACTTAAAAACAATTATATTTGAAAAGAGGGTACACATTGAAGACAATTCCAGGGTAATTCATTCAGTGTAATGTTATTTTTATTAGCTCGCAAGCTGAGACATTTCCGTTTGTTGGTCTGGTCCTTTGCAAACTATTAATGTACAATTTGGGGGTAAACGGGTGGTAGCATACTTTCGTATTGTCAAAGAACTTTTGGTGCTGATTACAATCTTGTGCCTGCCCATCCACTTCAAGGCCAAAGCTCTAAGGCGCCTCAGTCAATCGCCAAATCTCTGAGCTGCCGTCTCAGTCGAACGTTTCCTGTTCTGTTATCCTGTAAATTGAAATTATGCACATATGTTGTTTGTTTGCAAGGCTACAGTAGCTACCAAATAACAATTCCCCGGCCAATGAGCGAGCATTTTATTCGAAATGAACAGAAGTAACACCAGCAGCAGCAGCAGCAGCAAAATGAATCTGCAAGATATACAGTGAACACACAGCTGGGGAAGGCGTGCAAATATTTTAACTAAAACGCCAGCGACTACTTTTATCTGCAGCTGCAAGCCTCAGGAGTGGGCATTTGTGAGACGCCGATATATATCGGCCCGTTGTGCCCCCGCGGCTGGCCGCCCACATGGCAGCAAACACTGCCGCTGTTTTCAGTCAACATAATTTTACTACTTTTATGGGCAAAGTAATGCCCGACAGTAGTATCAGGGAAGGACTTCAGCCTGCCCCCCACCATCCACGTGCAAGTTTAAATTTCAACATTTCCTTTCATCTCACGCGTCTCGCGTGTGTAATATACTGAGAATGTGTTTTCCACATAGCCACGCCCTCAACCTACGCCACTTGCTGCCCGCGTGCGCTCCTCTCTGAGTTTATTGGCCTCGCAGCATACTTTGAAATTTACTGGGCTTCACTTGTAATGCTTCGCAATATTGAAATTAATTACAAACAAAGGATGCTGCTGGAAGCATGTGTATCTCTTGGTCTCCCTCTTCCTCTCTCTCTCTCTCTCTCTCTGCCTGTAGAAGCCCGCACCACAGGCCCTTTCTTTGCACCACCCACCCCCACACGCTGTGGGCGTGTGTGTGAATAACATCGCTGTTGAGCTCCTCGAATTAATGTTCCGCCTTTGGCAACGTTTGGATTCTAAACTTTGATATTTCACAAAAAACATCAAATGGAATACATGCGAATTAAACGCTCGCACACATGCACAGTTTCATTTTTCAATGGTTTTTCTATATCTGTCTACGTTATTAAAGGCCTATTTTAAATATGGTAAAAATATAATTTCAATTAAATTTGTCTATTTTCCGCTAAGCCGAATCAACTAATTTAAAATGCATCGATAATGTGTTTCAGCATTAAAAAATATTGCATAATTATAATTTAAGCATTGTATAAGGGCCTTTAAAAATACCAGAAAAGTTGAAAACAAAAATATTTATTTCAAATGTATTATACGTAAATTGAAACACTTCAGCATCTAAGGTTTTTATTTAATTATGTTAATTAAGGAGAGAAAAAATGAGCTTATGTACTCTAGTGGAGAGAGGACGACCGGCAGATGCCCTGTAGCCGAGTAAAGCCTTCAGATTATTTCGGATTTCGAGAAGATATTCACAAAGAACATATCCGATGTATGTACGCATGCAACAGATTAAGGGGCTTATGCAAATATTTTATGACAATAGCTTTACACTGAAAGCTTAGGCAGATGGACACACAGACATGGGCATAACGACTCGACAGTTGATACTGATCAAGAATATATATACTCTATTCGATCGGAGGTGTCTTCTTCTATGCGTTACACATTTCGAGAGAAAATTATAATACGCTCTGCAAGGGTATTCAAAATAGACGTTGTTAGGAGTCGCAAATGTTCCCTTCTGCTTTCTCTTTCTCTCTCGCTCTCTCCCTTTCTATCACTTTCGCTTTCTCTCTTTCACACCTAGGCATATTCACAACGTGATTATCAAGTCTGTATCCATTTTCAATGAATCGCATAAAAAATATAAATTAGTAATCGGGATATTAAATGGCTCTTAACCTTAAAACACCTAAATAAATATTTATCCGGTAATTTAAAGGGAATTAACAAAATTTAAAAAATTGTATGCTTATAATTCTAATTAAAATTCTTTTTATTTTTTTTTTTTTTTTTTTGGTCAACCATTTAATAATGGAATCAAAACATTTATGTTGTTCTTGTTGGTTTTGTTTTTGCAACGCTTTGTCTCAAATCAATTAACGACTATCGATTAGTACAATAAAAAAATTAAATAAAAAAATTGCAGAAAAACGCTCAACTCTGAATACTAAACTAATTAAAAATGTTTGACAAACAAATAAACAGAGAAAAACAGGCAGGCAAGAGGCCATTTTTCCAATTGTGTAAACAATATTACAAGATAAACAGAAACGTTTTAGGTTGAAGAGGAGAAATTACATTTTCAGTCATAATTGCATAAGCGCAAAGAAAATGCACTGCATGGGTAAATTTTATGAAGATAAACAGAGCAGAGCAAAACGCCGAAAGCCGCTGACAAAAGTCAACACGCGCCAAAAACAACGAAAAACGGCTAAAAAGTTCCTAAGAAAATTGCTTTAAGAAAATATAAAATATTCGCCAGTCTGCTGGTGCATGTTTGCGCATCAAATATGAAGATTATGTGGATGTAGAGCAGTTAACGCAATTAACAGCAGCAACTTTTTCATGGCAATTTCATAAGAAATTTAGGGCCACATTTTCTAGCCAAGTTTCCACATGACAATTAGCGAACAGATACTTTTTGTTGCCGCTGTCTCGCGCGACAGACACACCCACTTTTCTAAGAGCAACAGCAGCAAAATTTACGCGAATCTGATTTGTGCCAGACGAAAAGTAAAGACAGTCAAAAAGGCAAAAAATAAACGGCGTCTTCTTTATATCCATGATATTCTTTGTGATTATGTCTAGCCTAGACGCTCTCTGTGTACATGTGTGTATTTCTCTCTCTCTCTCTCTCTCTCTCTCTCTCTCTCTCTCTCTCTCTCTCTCTCTGTGTGTGTGTGTGTGCCTTTAAAAGGCTAATGAAATTTTCGTCTTTATAGCATTGAAAATTGTTTTTGCACGACGTGGCGGCCAAAAATGGAACCCAAACCAGACGATAACTAAAACTAGCATTCAATTCAATTTCAGCGCCGCGACTCTATGAAAGCCAAATAGAGATGAGCGCGTGAAAATAAACTTCAAATACACAAAGCTCACTAAATATACAATTACTAGCGTATATTGCCCGGCCTTGCCCGGAAACGTTTTGTGCCAGAAATTTGAGATTTTACCTTTTCCACCACTAGCCATCTAAATTTCTACCTAAAAGTACATACATATGTTTGAGTACATCGATTAAAGAATCAAGTGTTGGAATCAACGGTTTCTGCCCATGTTAGTAGCAGGCCTCTGATGATTAATCTTCCTTCCACTGGACTACGCCTTGCATGAACCATCAGAATTCTGTGATGATTTTAACAAGCATTACAGGTTTTTATTGCTCAGAGTCTTCTCTTCCTATAGCCGAAGTTTGTAACATTTTTTACTTCGCAACTCGTGTCGTACGTTAAACGACAGGGCCCCGAGGTCGATTGGGCGGGACGTGGGATTCGCGCAAAAAAGTAAAAAAATAAAAAAATCTTGTGGTGGGAATTTTTGAACTGAAGAATAAACTTTCGTTTACATTAAATAGATTTCTTTACATTAAATACATGTATAAAAATTCGTCCTCTTGGGAGCTTCAACCGTAAAATCCGATCTAAGCTCAGCTTTGAATTAAGTACCCTTTCCTTTAGCATATCTTTTTATTTTCTTAATCTCTTACAGCTGTTTTTTCTTTGTGCACAATTAAAAATGTAGTAAGTAAATATAAAGATTAAGATATTGCTTGCGGATTTGAACCGGCGTCTCAGGCTTGTTAGTCTGACGCTTTTACTGGCGATAAGTCACGCGGATATCTCTAGGCAAGCTAATAGGCCATAAGAACGACGAACGGGCGGCTGCGGTTGAAATTAAAAAGGAATTTACCCAAATTGCTATTGAAGCCCGCGAAGTGAAGCGTTTGCGAGGCTTTTGCTTCTGCGGTTTGGGCAAAGTGCCAGGCAAAATGCTGGCAACAGTTGCAACTGTGGATTCTGCTGGCTGGGGTTGACGAGGAGGGGGCGACAGTTTAATTGGGTTAGCAACGTCAACGGGCGTCGCGTCCCAGAGAGCTGGATCATTGGCGATGACATGCTGCGAGCCTGCAGCGGGTGAGCCACGAATTGAAGTGGAGTGAAGCGTAGATGAGAGAGCCGCCAATGCCAATCCCAATAGCAATCGATTTTCGTGCGCACCGTTCACTGGATTATTTCGTAATTAAACGCAAATGCAGCGGCCGTTGCTGTTGCTGTTGCCTGTGCCACGCCTTCGTTTCATTTTGGCCAAATGAAGCGTAAAAGCGTGTGGGCGTGGCCAATGAATGTTGTTTTTGACTGACCACCAAAGCGGCCGTCGATTGTTGGCCATGTTTGTTGACTAATTAATGACACTTGAATGCTTGATTTCACTGCATGCAGTTCCATTTCCAACGACCTTATCTATGGGTCAGTCACAGCGATTGCTGCGTGTCTGCGGTCAGTTTGACGAATTTCGAATTTGCCAATCGTGAAATGTTAATGACCCTGTGCAGACGGCGCCTGGACAACAGGGACCATTCTGCTGCTGCAGTTGCCCTATTGCCATTGAGTTCACTTGTAATTTAACAAGCCGCTGCCATTCACATTTTGACGGATAAACTGTTTGGCACAGGAGATTGCAATTGACGAGGGCCCAAACTGTGTTTAATTTCCATTTGTTTGTGAGCCACTAATCAAAATACCTAATACCGATGTTTTT